AAAATATACAGAAGGCAAATAAGCATCAAAGGCACTCATCATCAAATGTCATTAGAGAACTGCAAATTAAAATACTACTCACCTATCACAATGGTTAAAATCTAAAACAATAAAAATTCCAAATGTGGATCCAAATGCACAGCAAGAGGAACTTTCCTTGGTATATTACTGATGAACATATAAAATGATACATGTGTAGCCAGTTTGTAAACTAGGATATTTATTGCAAAACTATACTCTTAGCTGGATGTTGTGATACATGCTTATAATCCAAGGAATCTGGCAGGCTGAGGTAGGAGGATCCAGTCTCAAGATCAAGCCCAGGCTGGGCAATTCAGAGACACAGTGATATCCTGTCTTGAAATAAAATAAATAAATAAAGGGTTCAATCCCAGCATCACCAAAGCCAAACAAAAACAAAAATCTATATTCTAATTGTATGCAATCCAGGATTCATACTTTGTGGTTTTTACCTGAGAGAAATGTAAATGTGTCCACACAGAAAACTTGGACATAGATGCTTGTAGCAGCTGTATTCATAATCACTAAAACTTCACTTGATCTTAGCCAACAGACCAAGAAGAGATATAACTGCCAAAACTTATAATAAACATCCAAGATATCATTCAGTGGGTGAGTGGATATCTATATTGGACTAGATCCATTCAATGGAATATTGTTCAGTGCTAAAAAGAAATGAGCTATCTGGTAGTGAAAAGTCATGGAAGAAGCTCAAATATGTATCAGGAAGTGAAGAAAGCTAGTCTGAATGCTGTAGGTTTCTAGTGTTATGACATTATGGAAAAAGAAAAACCACAGAGACAGTGAAAGGGTTCATGATTTCCATTGGAGTCATTAGGCAGGGAGGGATAAATGAAGAATTATAAGGCAACTTGTTAGTCAGCTCTGGCTGCTGTAACAGAAAACAATAGATTTGGCAGCTTAAAGAGCAGAAATTTATTTTGCACAGTTCCAGAGCCTAAAAAGGCTAACACTGAGGTGCCAAAAGATCTGGTGTCTGATGTGGGCACTTCCTGGTTTGCAGTTCAGTGAGTACAGTGACTGTGTTAGTCATGCGTGGGAGGCTGACAGTGAGGCAGGTGGGGGTGTATGGGAATTCTCTGTACTTTCTGCTCAGTTCTGCTCTGAACTTAAATCTGCTCTCTCAAAAGCTACTTTTTGCAAATTAAAATAAGAATGCTATTTCATGACAGGTGAAACAATACTGTCTTGTTCACATATTTCCTATAACTGCATTCACACTACAATAGCAGTACTGAGTATTTCCACCAGAGATAATGTAATCTATAAAGCCCCAAAAATCTAAGCTGCTCTGTATAGAAAGATTGCAAAAGCAGATAGTTTTCTGAATACTGGCCACTTCATGGAGATGAACTGAGCTAGCTTCCTATATCCCACCATATACAAAGTTGAAAAGTGCAATGGGATTTGAGATGAAGGATAAAACTAAACTATGGCATGACATACAGAAGACAATAGTGATTTAAGAGCAACAATGTCTCAGGAAGATGACAAAAGCACAAATCCTTTTTTTATGATTAAATTTTTTCTTTGAAGCTTTTTCTTTTTTTTCCTTCAAATCAAATTAGTAGGACAGTTTTAATAATTAACACATTGCATACTCTCTTCCTCATGGTTATTAAAAGCACAAATTGTAAGGACTGGTATCCTTCATTTGATTTCACAATCCCCAAAGTGACTGTCATCCAAAGAAAACAAAGTTAAGAGAGAAGTGAAGACCTGAAGGAGGTGCTTACAGTGCTACAAGTGGCAGGGAATTAATAGCTCAGATTTATGAAGCCATTTGCATATTAACCCAAACTGGAGAGGATATGAAAGTGGAGAGAGAAAGGGCACCACTTTGTTGTGTTCTTTTTCCAGATGAACTTTAGGATAAACATTGTTTTTTTCTGGCTCTCCCATTAACTCTGTTGCATTGCTGCTACCTGCTACTACCGGCCCGCTTTTTCTAAACTCAAGTCTTTATTTGCTGCTGTGAATTGGTGAAGCTTTGACATGAAGGCAACTTGCTAGAGAAATTGATGACCTCTGGATTGTAAACTTAAAATGCCTTATTATTTAAAGTGCACTTTTGAGTTCAACAGTCTTGTTTTTATTTGGTCATTGTGAAGTTCAGTGAGAAATAAGGCAAGATCTTTACCATAAACAAGTGAGTTTTTGAAACTGAAAACATAATTCAAAATGATTTTATTGGGTGCATAGAAACTAGAAGTCCTGACTCCTAGAGTGCATGCTATTCAAATCTACTCATTTGAATTGAACTACTTTTCAATTGTCACGCTCTTCTTCTCCATCCCCAAATCCCTCCTACACTCAGATTAAATATTTCCTAGAACCTTGCTACTTAACTCTGGTGCATGGACCCAGGGCAACATTGGGTTAGACGCGCAGAGCCCCAGGCCCCACTAAAGCAGCATACATCAATCAGTACCATTCTCAAGTGAGTCAACCTGCATGTTAACTTTTTAAAAAATTTTTCCTCCAATTAGATTTTACTGTTTATTTTTTTATTTAGTGGCTGGCCCAGCCCACCATGGGGGCGGGGCTGGTGTGGCATGTGGTGCCCGGATGGAACTGTGGTCCCTAAGCTTGCCTAAGCTTGCTTTAGACCACTGAGCTCTCTCACCTGCCCTGCACATTACCTTCTGGACCTCTGGATTGCCTTTTGAAGTTTTTCTGCCTCTATTGTGTTCTGTAAAAATCTGTTGATTTATTTTTACTTTGTATTTCTGTACCTAGTGATACTATGTACATAATGAATTTCAGCTACTTATGTAAAATGTATCTCTTGCCCATTTTGTGAAATTGCCTTCAGATTGTCATGGATGTAAAAGCGTTGATAGAATCTCCTACAGGTCAAGAAAGCTACTGAAAGGCAACAACTACTTTAATCATGTCTCTATTAGTGTAGCAATATGGTAAGAATAAAGGGTTTGAAAGTTCAGAAGACCTGCACATAAATCTTGTACTTGCTAAGCCACTCTGTGGGTGACTTCAGGAAAGCAGCCCACCTCTCTGAACCCATTTCTTCTATCAGAAGAGAGCTGATACTACATGGAATATACTAGCTTTCTGAAAGCTAGCCTATATGAATTCACTGCTGCATATAGGCGTGCAAGAGTGTTTTGGGTTTTTTTGTTTTTTTGTTTTTTGGGTTTTTTTGCTGACCCAGAGATTGAACTCAGACCCTTGCGCTTGCCAGGAAAGCGCTTATTCTACTGAGCCATCTCCCCACCCATATTTTGGGTATTTAAGGTCTTTTCAAAGCATGGAGACTTTGTTCATGGTAGATTTTCTTAATAAATGTAGTGTTAACTATGAATTTTCTTTTTAACTACCTACTGCAAGCCATTCAGTAGAATGGTCCTGGTTTCAGAAAACATAACGATAAATTTATTGATGTAAAACCAACCAACCAACCAACCAAACAAACAAACAAACAAACAAACATCTTTGTGTAGTTTACAGTCCCTTTTGAATGGGGTTGTTGGCCTTAACGACAAAGTCCTAGCATTTCAGAGCTAGTAGATTTGTTCTTTATGGCAGTTTTTCTTTGAATTTACAGTGCTTAAAAAAATTCCTCAGTATAAAATTAACAGATATGTACGAGTTCAGACAGTGTATCTCCAACACTCTTCATAAGCACAGGGCTGTGATATTTCTCTCTTTTTCCTCTTAGCAGACCCAAACCGCACCTCTTTTCGCCCATTTTGAAGACTGGCTGCATGGAATCTCCCAGTCTGTACCCAGCGGGCACTCCTCATGAAATAAGGCAGTGGTGCCTACAAGTTCATTGACAATGAATTTTTTTTTAAAGAGTCAATTATGGGGGGCCTGCCCCTTAGCTCAGTTCTTTAAGTGGCTGCTTCAACAAAGCAGTCAGGCTCAGGTTGCTGTGGTTGATCCCCACAACACAAGCCAGCCAGTCATGCCTTGAAGGCATTCGGAGCAAAAAAAAAAAAAAAAAAGTCAATTATATTGTGGTTTTTTTAGTACGTCCTTCTGTCCAACTATTTCCACCTGGTCTCTGGCCTACCTAAATCTGAAGACCTTTCTTTGGAACCTCTGCTTAACCAGACAGCCCTAGCCTTTGCTGCCGCTGTTGCCTCCTGAAGGCGGGAGGTGGGACGCCGCAGGGAAGCCAGAGGGCCGGCCCTAACCTTCAAGTCAGTGCACCTGCTGCTGAATAGCAGCGCCCTGGGTTCTGTGCCTGCGCCTTTCCGCTTTAAGATTCCTGAGGGGCGAACAATCGTCCTGTTCCTTTTCCACAGACAGTGAGGGACGAAGCCAAAGGGCAGTGGCCTGGTGTGTGGGTTCATCCAGCCCCAGCTAGTGCAGGGCGCTTCCTCCTGCTCTTCCTGGTGCATTCGCAGCTTTTTTTTTTTTTTTTTTTTTCCTTTTTTTTTCCAGACAGGGTCTGGCTATGCTGTTTAGGCTGGCCTCAGACTTCAGATGATCCTCCTGCCTCAGCTTCCTAAGTGCAGGGATTAAAGCCACTGGCCTCACACCTCCTGAACAGGGAACCTGGTACGAGTTTCACGGTCTTGCACCGCAGAAGCCACACCAGGGGACTGGGGCGGAGCTCAGGGGTGGAGCACTCGCCCAGAGAGCGCGGGGCTGGGTTCATCTCAGCGATTGAATCAATGAAGCCCCCCGCGATGGATGAACTTGGCTGGCTTAAGTGAAGTCCTACAGGGAAAGGCCACGGGACACGGCGTCCACGCTCCTCTTGGTGTTCAGCGTTCCCTAGAGCACCGGCATCGAAAGGACCAAAGTAGCCGGCTCGCGACCCGGGGAGAGCGCGGGAGGTGAGGCGGCGGGGCCGGCGGCGTCCGCCCGGGCCGGGCAAGAGGGCAGGGCCGGCAGCGGGGCGGGGAGAGGCTGTCCCCGGCAGCCCCAGCCTTTATAAGCTCTGCGCCCGCCGCAGCAGGCAGAGCCCCGAGGGCGCCGGAGCCCGGGCGGCGGGAGCGAGCCAGCGAGCGAGCGAGGGAGGGAGGGAGGGAGGGGCCGCGCCATGCCGCGACCGGAGGAGTCGCTGGACCTGCGGGTGAGGAGCCGGAGCCGCGCCTCGGGCCCGTGCCGGGGGCCCCGCCTCGGGTCAGTACCCGG